GCAGTTCTTGTGAAAGCCAATCCCTGTACAATACTTAAGCCTCTGCTTCTAATACACTAAACACAGCTGACTTCAAAATTCAAACCATAGTGCTGGTAAACTTTTTTTTCTATGAATAATTATTGATGCCTGAATATTTACTTCTAGGGGGAAATATAAACATTACATTAAAGTTTGCAGGTTATAATTTATCATGTTGAAGAAAAGTTTTGTAATGTCACAAGAAGTAGATTATTTGCAGGCCTTTTAATTCCTGGATAAAACCCAATTCTTTATGCTCCTCTAGCACTTGTGCTGAAGAAAGACGGGCCAGACTAGCCATAAAAAATGCAGAAGAAACTGGCTTGGTTTTTACATACAAGCTTCACCCCTAAACAGCTTAGTAATTAATGTTTTAATCTCATCATATATTGCACTTCAAAGAACTGTATGCAACTTTTTGACAATCAATAATTCTGACAACATGAACATAAAATCACTTTGTTTCAAATTAAGCTGTTAAAAATTAAGTATTTCTCAGTCATGACAGCCCTACCTTGGGTTTTTTTTCTGTTCTTTAGATGGATTGTCTACCTTCCTATACAGAAGATTCAAATTCCACATCTATTCTCAAAATTGTGCTATATACCAGGAAGTATTTTGAAAAGATATTCAGGAAATAATATTCCATAATGAAGCACATAATAGGACAAACCCCCTAAGAACTATATAGACTAAATATATAGATTAATTATGCATAGAAGACTGGTTTAGGGAAGTATATGCATTACCTAMCTAAACTGTAAAATACGATTCATATTTAGGTTTATAAACACAAGAGTTGGGAACTACTGAGTTCTTTTGGCTAAAGCCCAATATTGGCCTTATTTCAGTTTAATTGGAAGAGGATCTTGAATTCATCTTCTCCATGAGATATCAGGAACCTGGATTTCTGTTTGTACCAAAGGTTAATAAGAAATGTGTCTGCAAAAGTCAAACAGCATTAAATACCAAAAACTGATTATTATTCTGCAGGAGTTGTTCTGTCATTCATAATCTCTCCATGCTCCAACCTTCCACAGCTAATCTTTAATGGATGACATGCAGGAAAGAAAAATAACATCTAAAAAGGGACTCTAAAGTGAGCTTTGAAGAAATGGAAAATACTTTTATTMTGTGCTGAAAGTTATTGCCACCCAAAATTTATTACTGGCAAGATTACTTATTTCCTCTTACTTTATGGATATTAAATCAAATTAACTCAAAGCTAATAGCCACTTGGATATTTGTTTTCACTTTTGCTATTAAATCTATTGCATATGCATATTCAGTAATTATTTTTCAAGTTAATTTATAAAACTTCAAATAATRTTCATGAATATTTCCACACCATATTCAAAAATTCCAAAATACCACAAATTATATTCACAACATTTTCATAAAAACAGACCTGAATTTGAGACTTCATTGTAGGTATATTGCCGTAGTTTCCAACAGACTGAAAGTTGTATGTTATATACCACCACACTACAAACACCATTTTCCTCTTTTTCCACACTATTTCCTATCATTACCTTGGTCTTTCAGAGAGCATCTACAGAATTCTAATACAGTTTTCAGGCATTAAAAATGGTGTTAAACCCCTAACAGGGCTGGACTCAATCCTGCTGAGCTGATGTTGATTTTAGAAAGTATYAAATTTTGCAACATTATTATTAGACACTGGCACAAAGCCCCCCAACTCATGGAGTAGCCAYTGCTACAGAAAGATTTAAGAATAAATATTTTTATTAGATTTTCATTCAGAATTATTCTTATTTTAGTCTTGCAACAAAAATATTACAGGGGCTGAGGTTCTGAKGCCAACAACTGAGTATCTTGCTGCAGTAATGACACTATGAGAAGACCACGGCTTTGGTATTTTTTCCAGTCTAGAGAAGTTACCACCATGCTCTATAACTCTCCCTTACACTCAACCAACTCCTTCTTTCAAAAGTTCCTATAAACCTCTGGTTTAATTCTTCCATCAGGAAGAAATGAAGTTATTACACCTATCCAAAGTGAGATCTGTTCTCTCAGCTAGTTGTTTTGAAGACTTACTTTGCAATGCCTCCATCTTTATTTTCCAGTCTGTCCTCAGAAGATGCATGCTACTTCCCCCTTTCCACTCCCACAGGTGGCACCCTTTTCTGTTCAACATRTGGAAATTCTGCACACCTGAATTTCAAGATTTGTCTGTTCTTCGTACTCACTTCCCACATGGTGCTCCCTTTTTTCCTTACACTACCCTGGTGTGTTCTTCTATGATATGCTCTTCACTTYCCTGATGTTGCCTCCATCTCTGTTCTTCATGACAGGGAGTAAAACTGACAGTACCTTCTGACATTGGGTTAGAATGACACAAAATCCAACAGAAGGATAAGGAATAAACTGAGGGAATCTGTGGCAGCCATGACCACCAGAAACAACAGTCTTTAATGCTTAGAAGTCTGAGGCCAAAACCTCAAATTCCCTAATTTTCTTTAGCCATAACTAGCTGACATAGAGTTAGGACCCAAGGAAGTTTTAAAATCCATCTTCCAGGCAGCAAAATTTTAAAAGAAACACATTCTGAAAACAAGTTATTTACTGCACACAGTATTATAATTTTCTTCCATCATATATATCTTCTGCCTTAATTCTACTATTTCTTCTATTCTCATGAAACATTTCACAAATTCATATTTTTTTCCTTCACCTTTTCCTTTGAACAATGTAAAAATCATTAAATGATAATATTTGGATAATTTGTTTCTGTAGACTGTTCTACCTTCATTTCAAAATGCCCTTTGTCTTCACTTTTTCCTTCTTTCCATGGGACTTGTTTAGGTAAAACCAATCAATTAGGGGGTTACCTTTTAAAACAGAATTCTAATATTCCTCAAAGTAGATAACACTTTTATGGTGTACCTTTCTGATGTTCTTTACAATATAATTTTGTGGAGTCACTTACTTATCATAAAGTCAGTACTAAGTAATAATAAAAATGCAAACACCCATATTTACAAGCTTCACTCTACCATGTGTTATACGCTGCAGAAATTAAACATTAACTAGTAACGTGAAATCACAGCAGCATGTGTTCTCCCTTCCTCAAAGAACTTAATGCAGAGGGATAAGTTTTTCCTTAAACACAGTCTGTTCTTTAGTAGGTTCTGCTTGCCCAAGGCTTTTACAAGACAGATACACATAGACTTCCACAAATCCAGTTTGGTTCACATAATTCCAGATTTCAAACCATTTATCCAAACTTGGTAACATTCTTAGAACTGTAAGACAGGAAGCAAAAAAACTGTGAAATATTAACGATGCTTCCTTTTGGCAAACAGTTTAAGTAGCAAGGAGCCTCTTGCCCTCATTCTCAGCATTTAAAGGTTTTTATACTTCCTGTACTCATAAAAGGAGGAAAAAAAGGTTATTTTTAAAGGTCATTGTTATTACACTCTGTAGCTCTCTTCAAAATTTGTTTTTTTCTTATTTTGAAAACAGAACAAGCATATTAAATTATTAAATCCATATTCATGCCGTTCTGTTTTCAAGATAAAAATATGCTTAGGACATCATTAGAAAGCTTAAGCAGTAGCATAGGAAACAACAATTTTCTAACAAGTATTTCAACTGGGTGCATAAAAATGAAACTATCCATGTTTTTGACACATCTTTCCAGGTTYTAATGAGTAATAAACACCTACATCAAAGAGAATCAGGTACAGAGGTAAAACACTGGGCAAATATCCAGGAACAAACACAAAACTTCATGTTCAAACCAAACAATCTGCGTTAGCTTTTGGCTGGTGGATATAATAATGATATATAATGCAGATTTTTTTTCTTCTGAAAATAAAGCAAGCAGTTATATAAAATTAAATAAGAATAGAATTATGCCTGTATTTAATTTTTTTCCTAAGATGTTCATTAGATTTGCCTTTCCCTTCCCCCATCACATAAAATCTAGGAACTCTCTCTTCCATCTATAATATTCACAGTATACTGTATTCTCAGGAGTTTGATACTAAGTGGAAAGCCAGCCATCTGTTTTTCAGCTAGAGAGTTTATTATCTGCTCCATTTTCCTAAAGACAATTACTCCTCCCTTTAGTACAAATATTTTTAGGGCAGCTATTACTACTATTAATACTCTATGAAGTGTGTGTGACCTATGAGGAAATAATTTTACCAAGCTTACACTTCCTTTCTTAACAAATGATATAGTGAATTTATAAAAGCACTCCCATTTTTTTAAACATCTTCAGGAAAATCTTAGAGYATTTCTCATCTACACATACAAACACTTTTCAATAATAAAAATGCCCAGCTTCATTACATTAGCAATTGCTGCAAGCATAGAACACAAATTGTCTCCATGCTTCTATGTCGACCCAAAGAACAAGTAACAACAAAGATAAGCATACATTCATTTTCAGCTATAAACTTAAAAACCTTTCCTTTTGAGAATTTATATAAACTTAATTCACTGGATATATGGCATCATCTGACAAAAACTCATTTTAACTACCAAAAGAGCAGATTTTTCAAGAACAGTGCAGGTCTCTAGTTGAGGTGAATGTGAGACTATCTCCAAACAYGGGGAGGGGGTAGTATTGCTCTGAACCAGCTAAAACAATAAGTGGTATTTGAACTGCTGGTTGAAAGGTAGAGGCACTGGTAATCATTATTTCCCCTTGTTTGTTCAGGACCTTCCAACAAAACAAACAACCTTTTTGTGATTGGATTGACATGGTGTTAACAATGCATTTAATGCCCAAATCAGTATGAATACAGGTAAAGCTCCTACTAATACCAGTACCAGGATGTTAAAGCCATCTATTTTCTAAGCAACTCTAAACAGCCACACATAAAAAAAAAAAGTCAAATCTTCCCTCCTTTAGCAAATAAAGCTAACATTCACTAGGCCACGTCATATAGCAACCACGGGTACTGTATGAGCCATACAGCCATCTGTTAAACGCTTGCCTACTGTACCTGCAATCTTTTCTGCAATCTTAGCTTCTGTAGCTCTGTCTTGCAATTCTAAGTCCAGTTTCATTGTCTTCAGCTCCTTGTCCTTTTCAGCCAGCTTATCTTGAAGCTGAATTGAACAAATGGACAGTAAGATTCTTACCTGCCTAAAACTGTCAACCAATTATTTCAACCACAATAAAATTGTAAATAGCAATTTCTTACTCCCAAATACAAACACAAAGCATTACAACAGAAGTTCAATTTATTATATTTATTTGTTTAAGGAACAAATGTTAAGAATATACATTTTAACATCTGCCCAATCTTCCTCTGTGAGACAAGTAGCAATGTGCATGCCATTGTTTTTGTTTGGGATTCTCTTCCTCAGGTATCACCAGCTGTAGTTCTTCTTGCTAAGGAAGTTCAGAATTGCATGGAATATAATGTAGGTGGTGTCTGCATGAACAGCCTGATTCATACCAAGACACTGACATCACAGTCTGAAAAGACTGGTGTAAATGCATAATTTTTCACGTTCTTCATTATATAGAAAATTGGTATTCTTTCACATACTGAGGCCTTTCTTTTGAATGGATATTCACTAAATCTGTTCTTTGACAGATATCTGAGCTTCAATACTCAACAACACTTCAAGGAAAGACTAGACTGCTAGGTTGTTTAGGCACATGTAACCACAGCTAACAGTGCAATGCAGTGTTCAAGGAGGCTGAAATTTTCTCTCCTTCAATAAAGCAGAGTTATCAGGGCCCATTAATTACCTAGGCCACATGTACAGGACCTCCAGATTCTATTCATAAAATTCTGGTCTAATCTTTGGTTTTCATTGGTTTTTATCCCAGGTGCAAGAATCTATGTCATTGATTAAAATCATCAGAGGGTAGGCTGGAGGGTTTTTTTATTCAAGAGAAATAGTTGTTAAGCAATTACTAAGAATCCAAAATGACAGGAAGAGCTAGTGATTGGTGTGCTAAAATAAATAACAAAACTAAATCAGGGACAGTTTAAAATGTATGTTTTGCAAGGCAATTATAAAAAAGCAAATACTGTGATGTGAATATCTCAATTGTACCTTTTTATTTTTGGCCCTCAGAGTGTCCAATTCTTTTAAAAGGAATGAAGTTTCTGTTTTTCCACCTAAATCTTCAGCATATTTCCATGAGGATATAAATTCAGGGAGTGTCCTGCAAGCCTCTCTTTCTACAGTGCTGTATTTAGGAAGGGGGAAAAAAAGAAATGAAAAATAATTAAACAGTAGTTATTCTGCCCCTCTGAAACAAAATACACAGAAACAAATGATCAAAACTTGTTAACAACCTTGCTAACCATTGCAAATATATTAAAAGGTCAGAAAAATGGATGCCCTTCTACCACTTCTTAGAATTGTAGTTCTGCAAAGAATCTGTATATCTGGAATAGTAAATAAAAATCCTACAGTACTAATGCAAAAAACATGATGAATATAAATTTGCTATGAAGTCTATAAACAGTAAATGCTTAAGAAAGCAAATATTAAAAACGATTGCTTAACACAGAGCAACAAAGTAATAAAACATTTGGGGATCAAACTGATGCCCAGGTTAAAAGAAACAAAACTTTTTTGTAGGATGATTCCACATGAAGTGATATGAGAATATCCATTAAAAAAATCTAGGAATTACTCTTGAAGGAAYCTGTAAAATGATGTTAGAATTCTAAATATTATAACTGATAACAGGAATTCCATACTGCATGCCACTTAAGAGTTTTAAAATAACTTATTAGCCATAGATAAGGAAAAGTAAGATTCAATGGGCAGAAAAAATCTGTATCAAAGTAAGAGTTTAATGAAACTCCTTGGGTATCCATTGATAGCCACAGATCACTCATATCTCACTTGTAACATGGCAGCAAAATCAGTAAATTAATGGATTAGAAGAGGAACCAGCAATATTTTTTAGCATTTSCTTTCCTTGAACATTTTCTGGTTATAGGCTTCATAGCCAATGTCATAAGAAGTAGCCACATTAAAGCTATACCTTCTGAACTTTTTCCGCTGTAGATACTACTTTATGTGTAATTCACAACCCAGAAAGAAAAATAAAGCTATCTATTGCTACAGAGTTATTCTCTTAGGCAGACAGTTGTCTGTACTCAGCCCTTTTTCAYCTGCTTCCATTGGATTTATTTTAGTGGGAGTGGCACTGGTAAAAGGTAAGAGGAACAATTTTTGGCTGACTCTGTGCTGTACCTATGCACTCTGGATTATAACTGGCTTGTACTGAAAGATGCATTGCCCATTTGGCTTATCTTAATCTCTAATGCAAAAAAGGCAACCAGGAAAAGGGAAAGTGTCAAGGATTGGGTTTGGCCCAAAATGTCACTGATAGATCTTAATAAACATAACAAAACCAGGTGTAGTATTTGCTGTAGATGGGTCAGGAATTCATGTATTTTTCAGAAGTATATAATAAGGCTTTGCAGCCTTAATCCCATTTTCAAAAACAATTCCGACACTCTTCAGTTAAAACTTGGTCTTCAGAATACCTAAGTCACTCAAAACTGGCAGCATGCTCCYAAACTAGTTGGCTAGTCAAAGGTGTAACTGGACAGCTACTTAAACCTTTGCATGTTGTGTCACATGTAGAGTGTGTAGATATCTTAAGACTGCTGCAGAGGGCCATTGCACAGTACAAACATTAATGACAAGGAATGACCAAAATTAATGACACAATAAAATCTTCAGGGTTTGTATTAAGCTTTTCAATCACATTAGCCCATCTTCAGACTCCTGTCACAGACTGCTAAGAGGTATCACAATTCCTCATCTTCACTCTTCCAGCTTTATCTGGACTTCACCCTGCTTTGTTCCTGCTTCCTACTCACTCATCACATTTCAAGTGCYCGTTGCGTAAAGCCACAAATGCTACACGGCTTTCAAGATCTGTTTTAACTCTGTTCCCCAAGCATTTTCAAAATTCTCTGTAGAGATCRCAATCATTGAAAATCAAGGTGTGATATGAACCATTGCAATGATCATATTTTGTATGAGTGCTAGAGAATACAGAAGTGAAATGCTGCATTCCATAAGAGAGGAAGGGCAGATATGTTGAGTCTAAGTAAAAAGCTGACTTACTGATTCCCATATGGGAAACAAACTTCCCTATATTTATCTAAAAACTCAAAATGTATATTGTCCATAATTTGAATCTAGAAAAACTACATTTAGGGATGTTTCTTGGGTTTACCTTGATTCTTTAGAACCAGAATTACAATCACTTAGGACTCCTCCTCTTTGACTGGTTACTAGCAAATCTGAAAGTTTCGGTGCTTCAGTTTCTGCCTGGATAAAATATTCAGTGAGTTTTTGAGAATTCTTACAAAAATGAAGCTCAGCACAAAAGTCTTCTTTTTTCTGATCCGAGATGCATGTTTCTAATTGGGAAGAGAAGCAAACACATTTTCTCATTTAGAGAATGAAGCACAAACTTGAGATTTCTCATTTGAAAACGGCTAGTTACATTCTTATTGCAGTAGAAAGGAAAAAGTAATTTAGTTTCAGATCACAACTTCTTCATCCCTTCCCTAAGGCAGGAGACCTGTGTTACCTACAGCATGCATGTAGGAACTACAACCCATTTACTGGATTTTTCTCATGGAAACATGAAAAATTCATCACTATTTCCTAATCCCTCTTCCCCTTTAAATGACTGCTTAAAATAATGCTGACTGCAGAAAATTATTTGCCTATCTCTTACAAAATTCAGSTTTACTATAGTGAGATATGATGAATTTCTGCTACAGAGAGGGAATTTTTCAGGTTCTAACTGGATTCTTATAGTGAGGTCWCTTTCAAATCCATTTTGGCTACAAAAGGAATATCATCAACCTGTAACTAGCAATAACAAATTTAAGCACCATTGTTCATTCCTGGAGACTGTGAGGTACAGGGTCATACAACTAAAGAACTTAAAGAATGCAAAGCAGAAATTGTGCCAAAGGGAAAAATTATCTGATTAAAATGTTGAGTGGGATAGTTAATTCTCTTAAGCTTGGGTACTTGATATTTTTAGGACATATTTCTGATATCAAGGCATTTAAATGAAAGAAAGATCCACATACCACAAATGTTCTTTCATAAAGTAAGAACAAGTSAGTTTTAATTATAGAATTATATTAAAAAATGAGAAGAAAGCAGCCTAAAAACACTAGAAATGGAAAAAAGGTGCATATATTACTCATTCTTTCGTTTAGATTAGTAGAGAACAAACATTCGAGCTTTTGCTTATTTAATAAAGTTAGTGTGTCCAAACATTTTGGATAAAAYATGGGGTGTATATTCTTTCATCCATCTTATAACATCCTCCTCAAAAATAAAAATACATTATCCATACAGTTGAAATCCAGTAGAAACAGACCAAAAATACAAATCAATTCATATCAAGGTGCCATCCTACATCTAAACATACAAGCACAGTTTCCAAGTAAAAAAATACTTCAAACTGTCTCTAAAATGTGTTGCAATGGATTCCTCTTTCCTTAAATAAGGAAAGACATAGCCAGTGGCACAGGAAACAGCCCAAAGGCCCCAAGGGATGACTTGGGAATTGGCTAGAGTCAGATTAACAACTTCCAATATGAAGATATGTGTTAGCACCTCAGGGAAAAAGTTGTGGCATCCATTGCTCATCTGTATTCTCCACATCCACTTCAGCACAAACTCATTTGAATCCACTCTAACCATTCCTGTAGACTACAACCACGGATCTTTCTACCAGAGAAACAACAGTCAGTAGAGTATCAGATCTTTGTTTCTGAGCATGTGGAGACCATTATCATAAAATATTTTTTGATAAGTATAATACTCTTTCAGTACTGTGATTGAAATGTGCTCCTCATATCATTTCACAGTACAGAAATTGAACATAGGGTCACAGCCACCTGGATTCTTTGAACAAATGTATGCTGTTTCTACTGGCTTGAAATCCTCCAAGCTTTTGAGCAGAGATTCTCTCTGACATGCTGCTCTCTGAAATATCATCCTATTCACTTCTCCCATATCATCTGCACTATCTCTATAAATGTAATTCCAAATTATGTTGTCCTATGCTGCAGGGGGGTGCGATGCTTCACTTGCCGTAACAACTTTTCCTCCTCTTCCTCCGTAGGGCATCCACTTATAGTATAAGCTATATATAGGTGAAGTTCCTCAAGTGAAGTGTGACACATTCTGTGGAAGAATTCAAGCTCAATGTGTATCTTTTGAAATAACCAGTGACTGTCCTGGGTTCCCATGCCCTCGATCAYCATGCCTAGAGACATACAGTCACATGTAGTACTTCCCAGGTCATCCCAACATTATCACTAATACCTAAATGGAAGAGCAGCAGGGAGTGTGAGGGTCAGATGGGGATCAGTAGGCTTTCTATAACATTCTGAATATGAGCTGCCAACAAGAAGCAAAGCTCTATAGACGACAGGTAAGTTCAGCAGGCAGATTTTTATTTTTGTTTTAAAAACCAGAAGCGAATATGCCTGTATGATGAGATAAACATCTGCATTAGCAGCTGCACTACTGCAAAATTCTTARGACATGTCAAGATGCAGGTTTTTAGCTGTAAATTATTGTAGCTAAAGAAAAAAAAGAATTTACAATACCACTAGAAATGTGTTAGCATTTATTAATGCTAATGCTGCTTCTTTAGATAAGGTACATTTGCAGCACACCTTTTCATCCAAATTCAACTCCCTCAAGCACATGGGTAAGACTAAGTAGCATCGCAGGAAGGCTGCAAGTGGCATTCTAGGAAACATTAGATGAAACACTGAGGATCTCTTTTTTTCTCTACTGGCTTTGTAAGACTGAAGATGATGGCAACCTTCTCCACTCAAAACTGAAATCACTCTGCCCAAGGGCACTAAAGTGAGAGGTTTTGACTAATTTAATAAAGCTATAATGGTTTCTTTTGGTCAACATGCTAAATTTGTCAGTAGAATGCTTTGGGGAAGACATTTTGAGCACTGTCAGATCAATGGACATAGCATTCATTTTATTTTAAAAACCACTTTATTCTTCACATAGTCTATGACCCCCCACCTCAAATAATTTATGGCCTTGGTACATGGTAGCTTGTTTTSTTGCTAAACTGTCAATTTTAAACAATGCACGCCAGTGCTTTTCCTCATGCCTCCTACAAATCGTATTGTGCACTAATTACCAATGCTGCAGACACACACTGGGGAGTAAGTAGCATTTGCAATAATCAGGCTGCACAGGGAACATCAGAGAAAGGGTAAAACAGCCTTRCAAGCTTTGGAAAAAATTATGTGGATTTCATTAAGTGGTACCACCACTGCTGATTCTGGTTCTTAAGCATACTAAACAACTTTTTTTTCCATATAAAATAGAACAAGTTCAGTAGCCCAGATTAATATTTCACTATAGGGAGAAGCTGAACAGCTGATCTTCTGTATGTATTTATCTTGAATGAATAGCTTGTTCACATTGCGGGAAAGAAAAGCAAATGTTAAGAAGCAGGAATATAAAGACACTAGAATTAAATCTGGGAATTGATTGTGAGGGACGTAAGGGGAAGATAATGCTGTCATGGCTTGAAACAGCAAAGGCAGAACAGAATTCAATGTTGTTAAGCTGAGAGTGGTTAAAATGTCAAGTAAAAACACTGAACCCCTCAYACTGTGCAGGTACCCACTGCTCCTCATGGCTCCTTCTAAGAAGTGGGGGCTAAATACTGAGATCAGGGAAAGCACAGGATTAGAGAATCCTCTACCAACAATGACAAGCGCCCAGAAGGTGCAGATTCAACTGGAAGACTAAGAAGGAAATAATTTCCCTTGTTACACCACTCAGCATATTCAGGAGTCCCTTCATCCAGCAGAAGCTGAGTTGACATCTTCTCCATAGTCTTTCAGCACCCCACTAAAATGCACTGATAGCTCAGAGCTTTGCAGGGAATGTGCACAGAATAAGAGTAAGAGAAAACAAACCAAACCCAATGGAACATGCACAGAGCACCTCAATACATGGGACTGGCCACAGATCTGATTGTGCATGAGTATGGGCACACTGGAAGCCCCAGGTATGCCAAATCAGCTTCAAGTGTAATAGTTCTTACAGCTCGCTAACTATAGCTTATTAGGATTTGTTTTAAGTTGGTCTGTGGCATCGACATASTGTGTTCTCATCTGTCTGCAAAAGACTGCACAAGTGAACCCCTAAAGGAATGGCAGTAAAAGGCATAATAAGAAAAAGAGCAAAAGCAGGAAGGAAGAGAATGAACCATATATCCTGGAAGCAGGAGCAAAGCTGACTGCAAATTCAGTAGCTATGACTCTGTGCCACTGTCAGACTAAAAACATTTGAAAAAATGTAGAACATAACATTGTGTTATATTTGAGGAAATACAACATCAATTACTAAAAGCCTCCAGAATTCCTCCAGTTAATCATAGAATCATAGAATGTTTTGGGTTGAAAGAGACCCTAAAGATCAACTAGTTTCAACTTCCCTGCCATGGGCAGCGATGCCACCCACCAGTTCATATTGCCCAGTGCTGATCCAGCTTGGCCTTGAACACTTGCTAGTACAGGGCATTCATAAATTCCCTAGACAACRTGTTTCAGTGCCTCACCACTCTGTGGGTAAAGAATTTCTTCCTAATATCCAACCTAAATCTCTCCTCTTTTAGCTTGACACTGCTCCCCCTGGTCCTGTACTACCTCTCTCTGTGAAAAGTTGCTCTTTTTTTATAAGCCCCCTTCAAACACTGGAAGGCCACAGTGAGRTTTTCCCAGAGCTCTTTCCTCTCAAGTCTGAGCAACCCCAGCTCTCYCAGCCTGTCCTCACAGCAGCTGCTCTCCAGCCCTCTGATCGTATTCCTGGCCAAGTCTGCATTTGCTGCAACAGGCCCACACTTTCCTTCTGCTGGGCCCCCCTAACTGGATGTGGTACTTCACATGGGCTCTCATAAGGGCAGMGTGGAAAGGTAGAATAGTTTTCCTCAACCTGCTGGCTCCATGTCTTTTGAYGGAGCCCAGGATGCAGTTGGTCATCTGGGCTGCCACAATGTATTTTTTCTTCTCAGTCTAAACAACAACACAACTTCAATGTCTGTGGGGATTTTRTGTTGGTATAATACCAGAAATTTTGAATTTCAAACAAGAGGGAATATTCACTATCCAAAACTATCTATGCAAAGAGCCACCCTGGACCTCCACCAAACCAACCTGTTCCCACTGGAATAATAGGACACGCTTCCTACATTTAAAAAGATCTTGATCTTGCCTCCCTATAAAACACATATCTACCTCACTTGCTGCAATAACTACGTGTGTAAAAGCATTCCTTTAGAGCTACASCTTCAGTTTCACTAGACTAATAGCTACTCTTTATTATTGACTTTCAAATTATCTAG